CCCTGACAGAAAAGAGGACAACGCGAGGTAGGAACGACCATATATCCGTGCCAGAAGGGACACCGTTCTGATAATGCGTATTCGTAGACGGCCAAACACCCAAAAGGAGAGGACCGAAGCCCGACAGTAAACCTGCTCTAACTCGGCGACAAGAATTGAACAGACAGGCACAACGGTGAGTGACGAACAATTTCGCTGGAGAATCAAGCGAAACGATCGGGGTACTGACGGTGGAGATGACAGTACGCATCGTGAAAGAAAAGAGTTGTACATCAAGGCTTTGGAAGATGAGGTCCTTCGATTGAAAGAAATCTTTAGCAACATATCGCAAGACAAGGACAAGGTGGCCGAGGAGAACAGGCAACTCAAGCAGCTCCTGGTCCAGAACGGAATCCCTCTTTCTCACTATGGTGACGATATGGTCAGCAACCCTAGCGGAGGCTACACATCGAGCGCCAGCCAGTCGGGCCACAGCTACGGCCAGAACGCCTACACGCCACCTTTGACGTCGACGACAGCGCCGTCGGTGTCGCCTTCGTCTCACGGTCCGTCTTACCCCCACGGTCTGCCCCCTCCCCTTCCCCAGATGGGCAGCCAGCAACTGCAACAAAACAGACAAGGGCAGAGCTCTGGTAGAGGTGTGGACTTTGAGCAAGCGGGCATTGACTTCGTCTTAACGTACGATAACCACCATCCCTCGCCCTCGAAGGCATACCTATCACCTCCCCCGCAGTGAAAAGTACTTGTCATATCACCAAGTCCTGGACATCAACGGGAGTCGGGTGGTGTGAGCGATGATTGCAACGAACGGAAGAAGAGCTTGCTGACGAGTGCGATTTTATCGAGGGTATGTAACAGTCTCGAGAAACCCTGCATGAATCACATGCCTTGGCTGTTGGAGAGATCAAGCGAGATGGGCGGCGAGCCCTGCGGACACGCGCTGATGGCCTCATGCCCCCCGGCGCCCTTCCCGGAGCTTACACCTGACATTCCGTTCGGGTACAGCAATGTCAACGGAGACCTGGACTCCCAGCAAAGGACGTGGGAAGTGAGCAAAGGCAGCCTCTCGGCCTTGCTTGATCTCAGCAAGAAACTGAACCTCGATGGGGAGGTCACGCCGGTCATGGCTTGGGGCATGGTCTTGGGCCACCCCAGGGCTCACGAGCTTCGTGCCGAGGACTTCCAGAAGCTCACTGACGAGCTCAAGGACAAGGTTCGATGCTACGGGTACGTATATATGCTGCTCTTCACATCTCATGTGGCTCAAACTGATCGTGACTTAGTTTTGGTGCCGTTATGGAGGAATTCGAGGTCCGGGACGCATTGGAGAACGTCTTCTGCTCCGGACCGGAAATGATGAACTACGCCTACTAGGAGCGTCTGGCATGAACTCGGATAACGAGATGGGGGCACCTCATCAGGAGATTCAGTGAATCTCTAAATGCATGACTTGGTGTGAGAAGAGGCCCAAACTAGAAACATTTGGAGCGTATTCTGGGAATCTTGGGGGATTACTTTTGATACCACGGCCTTAATGATATGTACATTTTTCTAAAGCCTTAAGAGAATATCGTGAAAGCATGAGCTTTGAATCAGACTATGAGATGTATTAAGCGACGACTTGTGTATTGTGAGCAGACCAGGCGTAAGGTGGTGGTGGTGTTCCGCGGCCACGATGCAGCTGGTCGTGGCTGGCAGTGGCCCCGCGTCGCGTGGAAACGAGTGGCTGTCAGTCGCCACCAGGTGTCGAAACACAAGACTTTGAAATTTTGCCCGCTCTGCCCCACAAAGTTCACCCCACCAAATCCGAACGACGAAAATCAACGGCGAGAGGAGGTGTGCACCACCCAAACCCTTGACGACTTTTCCATCTTTCAGAAGCCCGAAAGCGCTGCTGCCACCCCCCTTTCCCCCTACCGAAAGACGCACAGCTAGACCGATTTCGATCTCGACTTCGACCTCAATAGCCAAGGAAGAAAAACCATTTTCATCATGGCTCAGGAAATGGACTGGGTCAAGCTCGTCGAGACTTGCCCGGCCGGCGATGGTTGGGGCCCGCCCGTCACCACCGAGACTACCTTGAACGGTGTCCCCTATGCGCCCTTCTCCAAGGGCGACAAGCTTGGTCGCATGGCCGACTGGACCTCCGAGGGCAAGGACAGAGACGGACGTGGTGGCAGACAGCAGTACAACCGTAACTACCGTGGTAAGCGTCACCTTCCTCCTCTAGCTTCAGCTACGAAACCCTCCACGAAGACGACATCGTCGCTAACTCTCTCGCTTCCTTTCAAGACCAACAAGTCTACGGTGCCGGCCACGCCATCTCCTTCAACGCCCCTCCCGCCGAGGACGAGTCCACCTTTTCCGTCGTCAGCAACACCCGCGACAGCACCAAGACAAGATTCGGCCGTGGCGCCGTCTTCACCCGCGGCCGCGGCCAGCGTGGAGGTCCCGCTCAGACCGCTCGCGGTGGCCGGACGACCGTCGCTCGTGGTGGCCAGCAGGGCGGCCGCGGAGGCTACGGAGGAGGCTTTGAACGGGGCGGAAGAGGCGGTGGCCGTGGTGGCCGCCGCTTCGGCTGGAAGGACTACGACAAGCCTGCCCGCAACCGTGACGCCAGTGTCAACATCAAGGCCGACTGGAAGCTGCTCGAGGAGATTGACTACAACCGCCTCGCCAAGCTCAACCTGGACGCCGACGAGGGTGAGGAAATTGACGCCTACGGCTTCGTCTACAACTACGACCGCTCCTACGACAAGCCCGCCGTCAAGGGCTTTGAGCGCAAGCTCAACGCCATTGACCGCGCTGCGTACAATGTCACGACTTCTTCCGATCCTGTGATCCAGGAGCTCGCCGACAAGGACGAGGCCTCCATCTTCGCCACCGACAGCATTCTCTCCATGCTCATGTGCTCCCCGCGGTCCGTCTACCCCTGGGACATTGTCATCTCCGTGCAGGGCAACAAGGTCTTCTTCGACAAGCGCGATAACGCCGCGCTCGACATGGTCACCGTCAACGAGAACGCCGCCGACTCCCCCATGGACGCCTCGGACGGCTCCAAGGACAGCCTCAACATGCCCGGCGCCCTGGCCGAGGAGGCCACCTACATCAACCACAACTTTGCCAACCAGGTCGTCGTCGAGAGCGAGGGCCAGAAGCTCGAGATGGCCAACGCCAACCCCTTCTACAACGCCTCCGAGGACACGGACCCGCCGGCCAGCAAGGCCTACAAGTACCGCAAGTTCGACCTCTCCACCAACAGCGAGGAGGACAACTTCTACCTCGTCGTCCGTACCGAGGTCGACGCCGTCCAGAAGAACGCCATCAGCGGCGACGACCAACTTGTCACCCTGCACGCGCTCAACGAGTTCGACAACAAGGCCCAGGGCAGCGGTGGCGCCCTCGACTGGCGGACGAAGCTCGTCTCCCAGCGCGGTGCCGTCGTCGCCACGGAGATGAAGAACAACTCTTGCAAGCTCGCCAGGTGGACGGTGCAGAGCATCCTCGCCCGTGCCGACGTCATGAAGCTTGGGTACGTTTTTTCCTCCATCTCTTCTGAACTGATCGCCTTTAAACCGCCGAGCACGATGCTAACACACTCTCTATAGATTTGTCTCTCGCGCCAACCCCAAGTCCAACGACAAGCACGTCATCCTCGGCGTTGTTGGCTGGAAGCCCCGCGACTTCGCCAACCAGATGAACCTGTCTCTGTCCAACGGTTGGGGTATCGTCCGCACCATTGCCGATATGTGTCTCAGACGCGAGCAGGACGGCAAGTACATCCTCGTCAAGGACCCCAACAAGTCCATCCTCCGCCTGTATGAGCTCCCCTCTGGCGGCCTCGACGGCGACGACGAGGCAGAGGAGGTGCCTGAGGCGGGTGAGGGTGATGAGGAGTAAGCGGTTACTCACGGAGAGTAATAAACCTATTTGCTCGAAATGAACATGAGCACCACATTACACACGCACACAACAACAAACCCTCTTATTTTCAGTGACTTGACTGAAGATTTGAATACGCTTGAAGCATTTAGCTGAGAGACAGGGGCGAGGTCGGAGAGAGACGAGGAGGGAGCAAGGAAAAGCCGGGGAGTGGAAAAAGGTTTTAATGCCAGTTCAGTCCGAGATAGCCTGGATAAAAGGCATGGCTTGACAAGTCGGGTTGCCGCCGGGGTAGAGTGGCCCATGATGTAAAAAGTCTTTCTTCGATTTGGGGGGTTAGGCACGTATAGACGTCTATGGAGTAACGCATTACGGACATTTCTTACTTTTTGTGCCTCGGCTGTGGTTGTGATGATGTTGTGACTTGATTGACGATATTTGGGAGAGATTGTGTTGTCTGACTCATACTTGACCTCTGTGTGATGGTGCCTGTACGATTTGCGGCGGCAAGATAGGCAAAATTGACCATTAGCATCTCCTTTCGGCAACAGCTTGATAGAGGTTGTCCAGAAGAAACGTTGAAATCTCGCAGAGTGGCGGCGGAAGCCTTGCTGTTAGTCGCAAAGACAGATATTAATATCGAAATGTCAATCATTTAGCACTTCTACATGGACAAAGATCAGATGTTGTGATCTTAAAACATCCACTTGATTTGTATTTGCTCTTGCTTCTATTCCACGTAGGCAGGTAAGTATATAGAATAGCCCACCCATTGCGAATATCTTTATATATGATCACCCTGTAGTACTGTATACTAGCACATACATATCACATTCAATTTTCATGAAATCACATGTTGTTAAAAATCTCTTTTTCATTGTCCCCTAGTCCTGGATGAAAAGTTTTTGGAACCTCTCTAAAATGCCCACAACGCCAGAAGTCCATGATAGGATGCCATTCATGCCAATCATTAAACCCACCAAAAAACGAAAAGTCTTTTCTTCCATGATTCCCTCTCCTCCCCTGAAGCCTTTTTCTTCATTTTTTGTCCTTGTCATTTGTCCAAGCTGAGGATGATTTTCCCTCAAATTTTGTTGTTTACTTTTTACTTTTGTTCTCTAGAATCTCTCCTTCATGCGCGCTGCGACCGTCCGCAGATTGCCGTAGACCTTGGAAGGCGGCTTTCCGAGAATCAAGCTGACGATGGACTCGCGAGCCATGTGGATGTTCTTGTATGCGCCGAGGATGTGGATCTTGCTGTCGGCCAGGACGATACGGGTCTTGCTGGCATTTTCGATGGCGACTGCATAAGTCTCATGTCAGTAAAAAGGGGACCTCTCTGAGAACTTGGAATTTGTCCATACACTTTGTCTTGCCGTCCTTGCCTGCAATGCGACCAATGGCACGGCCTTGCGCCTCGTTACCCATAACCTGCTTGACATCGCGAATCTCAAAAGTCTCGACTACACAGTCTGTTAGCTGCCTGCCCAAGTATTCGGACGAAAGATCGGATCTGGCTTACTGTAAAGGTCGTCCAAACGCAGCAGCGCAATAGCATCGTCGACGTCGAAGCCCAGGGTGAATGCCTTGACGAAATCCTCGCCCTTTTGCAGGGCGCCGTCCTCGGTGGTGTGCTTCGAGGTCCGGAGCTCAACCTGTTTCCGGCGGGGATTCATGCGAACCTGGAGCTTGAGGTGCTCGACGAGCGGGGGGTAGACTGTAGAGCGAGGAAATGTTAGTAAGAACAAACAGATGTGTCATTGCCGTGACATAGGAAACTCTGTGAAGCGTACTCTTGGGCCAAGAAGACTTGAGCGGGGTGAAACGGTGAGGAGGTACGGGGACCTTGCGAGTCTCTATTCTGGTGACGGGGTCCTGGAAACACGAATAACGTCTTAGTTTTTCCCAGTGTTCTCTTATATCTCAGGAAAGGGTCTGTCGCACAATGTCTCTGGCGGGCGCAAAGCGCGGGCGGTTCTCCTCGTCGACGACCATCTCGCCTTCCTCTCCGTTCTGCGGTACGCTGGGCAGGATCGCATCCATCTCCTCGGGCAGGGTCGGCGCATCGAGGAGAAGCTCCTCGTCTTGCTGAGGCTCTTGGAAGGTCGCCTCGATTGGCGGGGCAGAAACCTCTACCTGCTTGGCGGTCGGGGCAGGCATGTTGGGCAGGTTCTTTTGTTTTCGGTTACTGAAGGATATCGAGGAAGTCGAAAAGAAAGACAACAAATTCAATCGAGGGTGTATGTATCGCTTCGGTGGTGGTGATGTTTCTTTGGCTTGTGTGCTATCGAGCCGAGTCGGTCTGGCGGGGTGGGCAGGCGGTCGTGAAGAAAAAAGCGGCGGGTGCCAGTATCGATTTATCGCCGAATTCCCAAATTTTTGTGTTTCGCTATCGATAAGACGATAAGGCCCCGGGGTGCTGATGGGCTAAGCACTTTAGCACCGTGCACCGTTAGGCCTTTGCGGATCTTATGTCAGCAAGCCAGTAACAGGCCTGACGGTCCAGGACCAGCATTGGGCCCAGACTCGAGGCACGGGCCATGATGCGCCTCTGAATTTTTCTGCTGGAAGCGCGGACGCCCCATACGTAAGGTGCCTTTGGAACGGGTCCAGCCGGGTTCAGCGAGGTACCTAGAGCTGCGGTAGCGCGTCATGGATGACTTTTCACAGGCTTGCCCTTCCCTGGCCCAGCTTTGCATCTCAGTCATTTCTGCATGAGCGCATGAAATGTGCTAACATTTGCCGTGCCTCCCTCGATACTTGCCTTGCTTCAACCCTTCTGACCGTGTTGTTCTTTGGTTCATTTGTTGCTGCGGTAAATAAACAGGGTTGTTTCTCCTCCCTCCTCATTCTTACTTCTTGTTGCTGTCTCTCTGTTCAACCAAGAGACAGAATGAGCTTGTGAAATGTCTAACGCTCCGTCGACTCTTCTTGGGCGTCGCTTCTGGTCTTGCGCCTGTGGATCGGCGCAGACTCTGGGTTTGCGAGGAACGACCATCACGACAGCGACGACGAGAAATACTTGTCTAAAAGCAGGTCAATCTACAGTCAACCCTTCCCTCCCTAGGCCGAACACCTTCAGAAGGTCCATACACTCCGGGTCACAACACTCGTTTCCTCGACCGAACATCCACAATGCGCGACGAAGCTATACAGGCAGCGGACTGCTGCTGGTTGGGTTTACCACAGAACTCGCGCCCACGCAAGCATCGGCAGCTTGCGCAGTTGCTGCGGAATCCGCTACGAACGCCGGTCTGACGAAGAAGTCAAATGTCTACCAACTGGCGCAGCAAGCATGGAGACGAGGCATACATACCGATTCGAGGGGCGCCATGAACCCGGCCGAAAGGAGGCACCATAGCTCCAAGAGTGGAAAGCAGGAGGAAAAGGGCTCGACAACCCAGACGAAGCAGGATACCCCCAAGGCTGGGGAGCAGGGCAAGCCAGACGCACCGGACCCTGACGCCGAATCGATCGCATCCACCATGTCGAAATATTTGCACATTCCAAAGATGCCGCACCGGCCCACCCGGGATGAGCTATTGGCCGCAGCGAACGGCTTCCTGGGTCGAATGAAGGTTCGATTCAAGTGGGCGTCTATCAGGAGTATGCGGCCGTGGAATATTGATGAATGGGGCGCCTTCGTTTCGTGGTTCCTGTTTGGTCATCTAGTCTGGATTTTGGTCGGTACCACCACCTTTTTCTCGCTGATCATTCTCAGCATCAACACCGTCTTTGCGCAAGGTAAGCTCCCTTCTGTGTCTGTGCCATGTCCAGCTGCTCACCGTTTTGTACAGAAACTCTTGCCAAATGGGTAGGCGATTCTTTGACCGAGTCTGCAGGCGTCACGGTCGTCTTCGAATCGGCAATTGTTCCCAAGTGGGGAGATGGCGTGATCAGCTTCAAGAATGTCTTTGTGTCGCGGCGACCAGGACAGGTCAAGTCTTCGGTTAGCAAGGGCTCTTCCGAGAGCGCTGCGGCTATGGCTGCGACTGGAAACCAGCCCGACCAGGACGGCCAAGTGTTGGAAGAGGATGATGGCAACTACACACAATACGACGTGTCGATCGCAATGGTCAATGTGACACTGTCATTCTTAAAGTGGTGGAACGGCAAGGGTTTTCTGAAGGATGTTGAGGTCAAGGGCGTTCGCGGTGTCGTTGATCGCACGTCTGTGCAATGGTCAGACGAGGTGGTCGACCCTCTATCCTACCGCCATACCCACGAGCCCGGCGATTTCGAGATCGACTCTTTCAAACTCGAGGATCTTCTCGTTACTGTTCACCAGCCCAAGGGTTTCCGACCATTCTCCGTCAGCATCTTCTCCTGCGAATTGCCACAGCTCAGGAAACAGTGGCTCTTTTACGACTTCCTATCGGCAACCCATATGTCGGGATCATTTGATGGCTCTCTGTTCACCATTCACCCCCGTCAAGTACACGGTACTATCGCTAGCGAGAACGGAGACATGGCAGAGGATGTAGGCGAGCCGGCAGCTTGGAAGAAGTTCAGCCGCCTGCGTATTGATGGTCTTAAAATCGACCACCTCAACCGTGGTGTAGAAGGACCTTTCGGATGGATTTACGAGGGTAACGTCGACATCGTCGCAGATGTCATGTTCCCCGCGGACGTTGACGATGGCATCACCAAAGCCATGTCGGATCTTTACGACCAGCTCGAAGACGTCGTGATATCCAACCGCATGCGTCTGCTCCAGAAGGATTTGCTCGACATCAAAATCGTGGGTTCTTCCGCCTCGGATCTCTGGGGATCTACACCTACAAAGGGCCATCTTTCCCAAGCTATGCCAGAGCTCACCGAAGAAGTCCCCGAGAAGCCCACAGACGCTGAGTCTTCCGACCCCTCCAGTTCTTCCGAGTCATCAGAAGAAGACCGGAGATATTTAATCATGGATCTCCGGATCCACATGAACGATGTCAAGGCCGCCGTGCCCCTTTTCACGAAAGACATCTCCTACATCAACCAGGCGCTCGTTCGCCCCATCGTGGCCTACATCAACGCTAAGAAGACATATATCCCGATCAACTGTCGCATTGTCAAGCGCCACACCGATTTCGACGGCAGCTGGTCCATCTTTGATTGCGGTCTCATGGACGACATGTCGGCCGAGACCTACGAGGCTTTTGCACGCGACATTGAGGATCAGCAAAGCCGCGTTCGTCGGCTGAAAAAGGTCGGCTTCTGGACTCTGTCTCTGGCTGTCCATGCTCTCTTTATGGGCATGGCAGGCAATGTCATTTAAAAACCTACCCTCTCTACTCCCTCTCCTCTCCCCCCTGGCTTCTTCTCTTGTTTTCCTGCCCTCTACGTGAGCACGGCTGTCTTTTAATGAGCGCATGATATTCGAAAACGGGAGGCGTTGTCTTTTTACAAATCTTGCATAGATGGACAAAGGGAGGAAACAACAACCATCATGTACATATACAAAGGGCAAACATCTCTGCACAGGAGGAAAGAAGGGGTATTGGGTTCCATCAAACCACTCAATTCTTTTTCTTTTTTTCTCTGGGATTATTCTCTAGGAGACGAGGCGTTTTACACGGCGAACATGAGGTATACGGGGAAGAGCAAACAACAAAATAATTGATACCCCTTTTTTTGACAATGTACATTTGACCAAAGACGCGTCGCTCGTGATGTTGACATGTTGGACACAGTCGTATTTCGACGCTGTGAGTCACTCGGAAGATAACTTCAAGGCATGAAATTCATTCGCTGGCAGCATGACGCGCGCCGCATGAATATCAAACTCGCGTACCGTCGAGGATCCCGGGCGACGCTTATCGCAACCACAAACATACACTACACTTCTCCACAAAGCTTTCCCCCGCGGACCCTTGTTTTCGGTTGCATGAAGCTGTACAGCTAGCTACAGGACTGCTCCCCCTTCTATGGGTGGTCTACGGAAATACCTGGATTTGGAAACCCATAGGTCTCGGGATATCTTGTCTCTCGGGCCTCGATGGAAGAGAAGAAGGAATGACGAGAGGAAAGCGGGCGGCTGCTTTAGTCGAGTGAGACTCAACCACTGGAATACCATGATTCCTTCAAAGTAAGCTGGGGGTGCTATTGCTCTTTGAGACCTAAATGGTGAATGGAGGGTGGGGTTTGGTGGCTGTTCAGTTGCCCGTAGGCGACAAGGCCTTTACGGAATATAGCAGATTTGATAGGTGGATAGTTGGTTGAGAAAGCAATTCTGTACAAGTAGGACATCTCTTAACGGAGAGTGACCCATTACTTACTCGTAATGTTTGGGGATAGCTCCATAGAGATGACATATATCCTTGGAGACGTAGAGACAGAGGTACTCCAGCCTATCGTACCATCTAGTTTTCCAGACGTATGGCACAGGCACGACACAAGTTTACTCGAATGATTCGATTCTATCATGTTTTAACGCTGTCCACAACTACCCTTCTGTAGGGAGCTTCTTTGATATCATGCGCGAAATGCACTGGGCCCTTCGCCCTCTAGACCGTGAATGCTTTTTTCCCCATGATCAGCGTCATTCCTGCTTTGAGGCGACGCCACTTCCGATGCCATCTCTCGCAGTCTAAACCAGATGGCCTTCCCGGCAGTCCCAGTAGCCCACGAGCCCTCATCATGCCGAACCCCCATCTACATCGTGACGCAGCCGGGGTCCGCGACAGCAACACTTGCGCTCTGAATCCAAGTCGCTGTGGCAAGCTTCGGTACGAAGCCGCGCCAGATCCGTTGGCACGGAGCAGACTCGCTGAGATACAACGGGCTGAGCTCTGGGCGCGGGAGAATAATGCAACCCTGCCTTTTGCTTCACATAAAGTCATCACTAAGAAGAGCGAAGGGTCAGTATTTCATGGCAGATAGCAGTCTTGAGAGATCGACTTACTCTCCGAAACCATCATCCTCGTAGGTCTCGGTGTCAGCTGCGGGAGCACGGCTGACGACGGCGGAGACCTTGGTCTTGGCCGCCTTGCTCTTCTTGTTGCCGCCCTGAGCAGCCTTCTCCTCCTTCATCTTCTCGTTACCAAGGGCAGTGAGAGTGCTGGCAATCTTCTTAATCTGGTCGCTGGGCAGATCCTTGGCGAGGGCCTTGGAGAACTCCTGAAGGAAGAGGCCGTAGTGAGCCTTGCGGGCGTTGTTGGCGAGAATCGGGGTCA